GTCTCTTGTGATGACTAGGCGCTGCTGTAGTCCAGCGGGTTCTCCAGCTTGATGCGGGCGTGGGGATGGTGAGGTGGCGGAGGGGGCGGCGGCGGGGCCAGAGCCAGCGGAAAGTTGTAGTAGTCGCGACTCTGGTACGCTGCTGCCTCATCCAGTGCTCCGGACTTGTAGAGAGACAGGGTGGACGGCAGCTCATGTGTCCCGGAGCTCCCTGCTTCGTCGCTACCGGAGCAGCCCAGGCTCTCGCCGTCTTTGGCGTAACCCGAATACTCAGCAGTCTCTTCTGTGCCCTTGCCTGGGCTATCGTCCAGCAGGGAACCTTTGCATTCGGCCAGAGGGGCGCAGGGAGTGGGACGCATAGCGGGTGGCCCTCCCAGAAGTGGGGCGTACATGCAGTCTCCCCGAAGCTGTTCCCCAGGACTCAGATGCTCTAACGCCTCCACACCCAAGCCCATGGACACGGACACTGCCTTACACAACTCCTTGGCGCTGTCAGAGATGGTCGAAGTGCCCCCTAGGTAACTGTCCTTGGAGGAGGTGGGAGCCCCAGCGGCCTCCCTCGCTCTCCCGCTGCTGCTGCCTTCAGATACCGCCTCCTGCCGCTGCTGCTGAAGGAGTTGCATGGTGCCGGCCTCGCTCAGGATGTCTTTAAGGTCGGTGGGGCAGCTGCTTAAGCCCGGGAAAGTAGGGCCCAACAGGGACAACGTGGATGGGGCAGCTGAGTCATCCTCGTCCGGAGGTGCTGGCGGCTGCTGCGGCAGCCTCTTGCCTGCGGCCGCAGCGGCTCCAGATTCTGGGACGCGGCCGCTCTCGAGGTGGCCCTCGGGGGCTGGCTGCTGTTGTGAAGGCTGCTGTTGCTTATGCAGGGCCAGGTAACCTGTGGCGCTTCTGCTCTGGGCTTGGGGAGAGCCATTCTCACCCTGCTGCTGCTGCTGCTGCTGCTGCTGGGGGTTAGTCTCCTGCTGCTGCTGTAAACGGGCGCCGGGAGGTGCTGCGCTCGAGGCCTCAGGGTGCCGGGGACCCGGGTTCTGGATCACTTCGCGCACGCTCTGGAACAGATTCTGGAAAGCTCCTCTATAGGTCTTGGACGGCGGCCGCGGGTAGACCCTCCCCAGCCCTAATTGCACCTCCATCCTTGAGCTTGGCTGAACTTTCTACCTAATTCCCTTACCCTACCTCCCCTTCTCTTGCTCAGAAGAGTTCAACAGGCTGCAATGATGCGGTAGTCCCTGCAGCTAGTTGCCCACCTGCGGGAAGCTCCAGAGACAGAAACTTGAAGGAGCAAAAAGTGCTCTGATAGCCTCAAAGTCTCCTGAAGACACACGCTGGACACGATCTACCAGACTAGGCTCACGGTCTGTCCTTAAATACTTGAAAGGTAGATTCAAAAGATGCTCAAATCTTGAAAAAAGAAAAGAAAGATCCTCCGCCTTCCAAATTCAGTGTCCACTGAAACAGGTGCAAATAAGAACTGTGTTATTTTCTTTTCGTTTTGTTTTGTTTTTGGCTACTGAGGCCCTGACTGCCTTTTCATCTTTTGATCTCTGGCTCCACTCTCGGAGTGGGGTGGAAGGGAGGCAGGAGGAGGTGGAAATGGAGTGGGGGGAACCAGGGGACCCTCCCGACGTGCCTAACCAGCCAGGTCCTGGCTGCAGTGCTGAAGCCGCTCCCCGGTCGCCCGGCTCCCAAAAGCCTTCTTTGCAACGTGCAGCTAGCTCGCCCGCTCACAGCCAAAGGGAGTCACCTCTTTGCAAACTTGGGCTGGCAGCGCTGGGCCGACGTGGGGCGGGGTGGTGGTGGTGAAAGGGTTGTGGGGAGGCTGGCAGAGAGGTAGCAGACGGAGGCAGCTGCAGGACAGGAGACG